ATGTACACAAAAAAACAGAGTAAAAAAAGATAAATTAATCTACAAGATAAATAAAATAACAGATTAGATCCGAATGGTAATAAAATAAATAAAACACATTCACACCTATCTACTTTACTTTTACTTTTATTTTTTATTTATTTATATATATATATATATATATATATATATATATATATATATATATATATATATATATATATATATACTGTAAGATAATTGAAATATTTTATCGATAATTACTGCTCTTTCAAATAACATAATTTTAACTTAGAACATTGTCAACTCACTCAGTTTATATAATTATTAATTTTTCTAGTATTTCCTAAAATTACAATTTTCGTTCTGTTTACAATTCGTTTTGTTCGTTCGTTCTATTTTTTTTTTTGCTGCTGCCTGAAACTTGGCAATCCCACGGAACCGAATGATAAAATAGCAAACGGTGACGATTGCTTACTCATTCTGGAGGTATTTTTCGTTGTAATGTTTTGTCTGGTTGGTCCCATAAGCTAAAGACTTTGCTTGGCAAGTTGTATTGTACAACGTAAGCGAAACTTCTGCGTACTTGGCTTTTCTTGTTTACAATACGAAGGTTCGCTTAGTTCAACGTATTTTTGGCGGAATTGTTTCGGATAGCCGTGAATATCTCTTCTTGTATACTGTTTATATATATATAAATATATAAATAAATAAAATAATAATGTACGTGGTGTACTGAACCTCGTTTATTTTTCGTTAATATATATAAATAAAGAGTATATGTATATAATATTGCAAAATTTCTCTAATCGACCTTTCATTATTGTTTTTTAACATAATTATTTTAATTGGGCATTAGGTCATTACATGTCATTCAATGTAATGATGTAATGCCCAATTAAAATAATTATGTATATATATATCATATATATTACGTAATACCCACAGAAAAATACTTATATAAAACGAATTCGTCACTAAATTAATCTATTACGAAACCTATAAATTTATTCATGGTTGGTGATTAGCGTTAAGTACAGAAATAAGTGCCTATCCTTGTTTTTCTAGCCATTTTCTTTGCATTACAAAATGTAATATTCTTGTTACTCGTTTATTTAATCAGTAAAGTCGCAATGATTGTATTGACATAATGATTCATTTCAACTTGCGCCATTGAAATGAATCAGTCTTATTTACGTAATACCTTTTGGATGTATCTTAAAATTCAAGGCATGGTACATTACCAACAGAAAATACATATTTTATAACACGTATCTTATCAGCTATTACGTATTCAAGTGTATGTAAAAATCGAATTCAATACAATTCAAATAGCAATAGTTGTAATAATAAGTATTTTCTTCCTGTTAGTTTACCATCAGCAAATTTTGTATCATTGTTATATATTTTATTATTATTTATAGTTAGACAAAATATTTCAAAAGACGTATGGAATAATTAAAGAATGGATGAAAATAAAATAAGGATAAATAAATTATGTGATTTACTTAACACATATTAAATGTTAATATATTTGAATATTTAATAATAGATAGCTTTTTAAATTTAAATATATTAATTTATAAGCTAATTAATATTTATAAAAATTTATTAGGGTAATTATGATGGTATGGTAATGTACTTGAATTAATTATTAACATTGAAGGATTTTGCTTTAACAAATCTAACATTAATTCAATGTTTAATCAACTAAAGTAGTTTATTAAATTCTGAAAATAATGCAAATTTTCGTAAATATTGTATTTACTTGGATCATTTTACACGGAAAAGGAATTCTTGACTTTGCACTAGCGGACCCAGGATTTAATTTTTGGAGGGAGGGCTTCAGCCCGGAAGCCTTTTTTATCATAAAAATTACGATAATTACTTTGGAAAAAATGAAACTAACTACCTATATGAAATGGTGTTTAAGTGATTCCTTAAGTCCTTTTAAATGTAATTACACGAACAATAATACTTTAAGAGATAATTTTTTAATATATTTTTCCATAAAACATGGTTATATTTTACCATTTGGGGGGAGGGCTTCAGCCTGAAACCCCCCTCCCCCCCAGATCCGCCCGTGCGACTTTGTGTTTTGTTTTATTTTTTATGTTGGTCACGGTTTTAATTGAATAAGCCGGAATTGCTCCAAAACGCCATCGTAAAGTTGACAAAATTTTATTTGAGAAAACAGTATTTAAATTTACAAATTTCATTCATGAAAGGAACTTACAGGGGGTGTAATACGGCCGCTGTACTGCTCCAGTTACAATACCTATAACTATCATATATCATATACCTATCATACCCAAGCAGCATATCTCTGCATTCGCGATTTTTTAAATAATTCGACATAATGGTAAGCTTTGAGTTACTAAAAGTCCCTTAATTATATGAGAGTACCTTTTATGATTGAAATTAGTAATTTAATCACTGTTTTCTTAAACAAAATTCTGTCTACTTTATTAGAATTTGATAATATGAAACAGCTTTTGAGCAATTCCTTCTTATTCAATAAAAAATGTGATCACCTTATGAAAAACATAAAATTAACTCTTTTCCCGTTCGGAATCGGCCCATGCATCAAATGAACTTTTTTGTTGGAAATTTTGTCTAGAATCACCTCCTTCCCACTCCCCCCCCCCCCCAGTGTTTGGCCATTAAGAACTGAGACACTTAATATGGTGATGACTTTTCAAAAAATATCCACCGAAAACCCTTTCTGGATTAATATTCACTTTTGTTGTATAAAGATTAACGACCTTAGGTTTTCGAAAATAAATATTGCGAAGTATATTTAGCTCAAAAAGAGATGAGTCAACTAGAGAATTTAGGAGGCAACACAAGGCGAAATCGCGTGACTTGCACCCAGTAAATATAATTAAAGTAATAGCATCACTGCCAATGAAATGGGCGTGTAAAGTTGTTGAGCTGGCTAAGGAACCAATCACTAAAACAAAAACGAAAATCTAATCATCGCTCGCTGGCCGATAAACGTGCAGAGGTATACCGAGAAGTATTTATTTAGTAGATTTAGGTTTTTACGAGGCTTAGTGAAAGGAGGTAGGTATTGTTTGTTGTAGCAGCATCCAACTTACGGATTCTTAGCTTGATTACTTCTATTTTACATGTCTTCATAAATGGATTTATTGTCATAGAGGTGGGAGATTAACAATTCCACAACCACTTAACTAAGTTTTTAACGATCCTTCATAGTAAGGAGTAAGGAGCTTTCATAATGTAGGCTTGTATCAGAAAACCTTTGGGGGTTACCGTAACTCTCAAACGAACTTGGTCTTGATGTTGCGCAAGAGTCTCGCAACATTCTTGTAGTTACCTATTAGCTTATTTTTATAGAGATATTACTGTAATTTTTCTGATGGGGAAACCTAACTAAACCCGAATGAAAAATTGGAGTTAAATGTAAAAGTATTATTAACTATTTTTCGTTAATTATTATTCACAAAAACAATTATTTTTTTTTAAGAGTCTTGGAACATTCAGTGCCCGATTTTGGGCAACACTAATCGAACTGGATCCAGCCAGTTTATATATTTTGTATTATGTTGCTTGGTACTCGCGAATGTTTTCTTCATAAAGTTGATTAGTAGTGTAATCGTATAATTGTAATCAACCGGTTCAGCAGTATCTTTTATATCAGCTGTTTTCCACTCAAGTTTTTGGATACTATTGCATATTTAGAAAGCAGAGTTGCGAAAGCTTCTTAGAAGAAGGGTCTCTTGTCAGAAGCTTTAACAATGGAGACTAGTACTAAAGTTACTAATATATTATTGTATTTGTTAGTTATCAGCTGCTTTTTTTCACTTTCAATCGATACCGTAGGTCTTTTGTGAGTTGCAGTATGATCTATCATTTTACAGACTGATTCAAAGACAACTTGGTACCATATATAATGTATAATTATATAAATTGTACAATAATTTTGAGACCAAGCCATGATGATATATTGCTACATCGTCATGCCTCTTCAGTTATTATGTGCCTACCATTACTCAATACCTTTTTATCCTCAATCGATTAGAATTTTCTGGAACAGAATATATACTTGTGAGATGAGTTGATCTTTGGTCACAGCCAGAAAATATGTTTATTTGGATAACCTTTACCCTAGGTGCCAGCCAGAGTCCAGAAAAGTGTGCAATTCCCACAATTGTTGTTTGTTGATATTGAAGACCCAAGGGTAGATAGATAGAAAATAACTTTATTCTGGGACATAGTCCCAGCTGAATCTGACAATATAAAGTGCCTGAATAATATATAAATACATTTTCATTTAGTATTGATATTTGGCAATGAATGGCATGAAATAAATGTATGTTGTCGAATGGTTAGCAACTATCTCACTGTTTTCGGGATAGGAATTGGAATAGGAGGGTGTTGAATGTGGATATGGAAGGGGAATGCCGAATTTTGATAGGGAGGGAATTTCAAAAGTTGACAGAGCGAGCAATAAAGGAGTTTTGGAATGAGGAAGATCTGTGAGGAGGCATGTAAAGGTTAGAAGGTCGAGATCTTATGGACAGGGAATGGACTGAGAATTTGAACTGGAGAAGGTTGTAGGCCTAAGAAGGACGATGGTTGTTGATGATTTGGTAGAGGAACGTACCTAGGAAATATTGTCTTGAAGGATGGGAAAAGCCACTTTAACTCAGCCTAGTAGTGAGAGACATGGGAGTATCTTGGGGCTCCGATCACAAATCTTACGCAGCTGTATTCACTGATTAAAGGATGTGGATAAAAGTTATGAAAATCACCTAACCATATTAAGTATATTCCTCTGATGTTTACAATTATATATATATCTGGAAACGTCCGAGTCCTCTCAGATCTTCGGAGCTAATATGCTCTGTAGGACCCAAGACTCCTCCATTGCCCTAAAGCAGTAAAACATTATTATCATTATGAAAGTTTGTTTATGGTGAAAATAATGGTATCACTGTAACTTGTTACTATTTGTTAATTGTATAAGTGATTTTAATGATTTTTTTTTTTTGGAGGAGCGAGAGGAAAGTAAGGCGGCAGTGGCAGGTCCGCCAACGTTTTCGCTTCCGGTGCCATTCCCGTTCCCGCACCCGTTCCTGCCACCCGCGCCAGCCTATCCGCCCCAACCCACCCACAGCTCCGCCTCATCTCACAGCTCAGAATCTTCCTCTGGATCTCAGCAAACTTGGAGCTTCGAAGAGCAGTTCAAACAGGTGCGTCAGGTTAGTCCCTTTCACCTTGTTTATCACATTAGTATATACGTTTATGTTATAAATGTATGAATATTTGTAATTTTGTTCTTTTCTTTTACTATTGAAGTTTTCGTATGTATGTTTGATTATGCAAAATATCGTCATGATTTTAAAGAGCACCTTGACTTATTAATTGATGTGATTAACAAAATCATATATAATATATGTACAGAGGCGCAGACTTCGGGACTTCCGTCGCCCCTCCAATAGAAATTTTGAGGGGAAGAATATCGCCGCTCTCCTAATAATTTGAAGTGTAAATAAAATTAATAATGTAAATCATACCGTAAGATGGGGTAACTTTGGGGCTGAGTGGGTAACATAGGGAGCTGGTAAAATTTAGTTTATGGCGATTCCCTGGTGGGTACTCTCTGTTGGTTCAGTCACGTGCTTTGTGTAGCCATGTACTGCCCTACTACCTTGCACCAGTTTGAGAACCCTAGTTAACTAGACTCGTTGTGCAGTCAGGTTTTATTTATTCCCGTTGCTTTTTTTTTTTTTTTTTTTTTTTTTTTTTTTTTTTTTTTTTTTTTTTTTTTTTTTTTTTTTTTTTTTTTAGGTAGTAGCGCAGTACATGCCTACACAAATCACTGAACCAACACAGTGTATCCACCACGGAATCACCACTAATTAAATTTTACCTACTCCAAAGTTACCCCATTTTACAGTAAATAAAATGATATACCTAGATAGATTAGTTAGGTAATAGCAAAGAAGGAACAGAGAAAAAAATTGAAAATAAAATAATCATCTTAAACACATTCATAGAATAATTATTAATTTAGAAAAGAATTACAAATGATTTGTGTTAAACTGTTGCATATATGTACTTGTTTTTTTAGCTTGATGATTAGTTTTTGTCCCTTTAAAGTTGCAATGAAATGATGAAGGAATATTTAGAAAATTGAGCTGTAAAATAAATTATAAAAATGCCTCATTCAACTAGATATTGTAAAATTTTATGAATACATCATAAATGAATGAAACAAGTAGACGAAGCCCTGATTTACAGTTTACAGTTGGCTGTCACCACACACGCCCATACATAAATGTATGGACTCAACTTGTGTCGCCGGAAACCTCAAATTGGTTTTATTATTTCCTTTTACAACTTGTTCTTTATTTCATACTCTCTTTTTTTCCTTTTCGCTCCTTTTCTTTTCTGTTTACTTTATAGGTATTTGAATTTGTGCAATAAAACGCTTTCCTTCTGCAAAGCCAACCGCAAAACATAACCCTGGCAGTAAGGGAAACTTTTATAGCTGTAACAGGATGCGGATGGAACAGATCTCCTTGTTAAGTTAACGGTTTAATTTTTTTAATTGTACATGTAACAGCTGCCAAGTACATTTAGTCACTATGTATATTAACATAGGCGTCAGAATGTTTTTTATACAAGTTATTTCCTACTTTCTTCGCTCTCTCATTCAAGAGTGTGGGGAAGGTATTCTGCTTACAACTTCGACTCCTGTTCATTAATAATTCACATTACGTATAACTGATACAATATGGGGTTATTCTTTTGTATAGGTATTAACAAGAACCAATGCCTATAAATTATAAACTTCTTGATGAAAATTCGAAACGACAAAACGATAATTAAATTAACATAACTTTTAAAAAGATTCACTGTCAAAGTGTGTAGGCTTTTTTCTTAATTGGTATAATAACTGTTGGTGAACAAAATCTTGGAGATAATGTTGTTAATAGTAAATTTTGTTTTTATTAATTTCTCTCTATCTTTAGAGTTGTCATTAATGCTCTATCTGGTAATAAAAAACTTATCGATTTATACATTTACAATGAAATATTTTGAATTCTAGCAAAAAAAAGGGGGTTTATGAATTAGTTAGGTACGTCCTAAGTGGGTGTGTGTGTCTTACGGCGTAATCCAACTTTAGTTACGCTACTGTACGATATCTTATCTTGGGGAGCGGGGTAGCTAAATGGGTTGGGCACTGACTTCTCAAGGTTCTGCGTTCGAGTCCAGCTGATGGCAAGTAATTTAATTTGTCCCATCGGATGAGGATCGACCCTGGGGTCGGGAGACCCTCCTTGGGCACACCCAGCCTCTACAACGTTGGTACTCTTAATTAATGATTCGTAATAACTCTTAATTACATAATTAAGAGGAAAAACTTGCGGTTGAGCATGATGTTAGTCAAATCACATCCTTGCACAATCGTTGACCACGAAACAGTACTGAACCCTAGACCTTTCATAGGTTGTGGTACATTTTTTTTTTTTAACATAATCTCATCATGACAATCTTATTTTATTTTTTGATTTATAAAATTTCATTACACTGATGAAAAACATAACGAATAACCAACCAGTTGCGTTTCGCTTATTCTAAAAATATATTAAGCCGATTTAGATTCTGTATTTCTTGTAAATAATTTAATATTGCCAAATTCGGATTCGCCATGGGTATCTGTTGTTCTGTTTTAGAGATTACTTTATAAACATAATATCTGAAAGAGTAGAATACAAATGAATATTTATTCCGTGTTTTTTTTTTTTTATTGCAACCCCAACCATAACCACAAGCGGATCTTCGGGAGGGGGTTCGGACTAAAGCCGCTCCCTCCCCCCCCCCTATCCAAATGTTAAGACATAACTATGTCTTATGAAATAAATACTAAAAACTTATCTCTTAAAGTATTATTGTTCGTGTAATTGTATTTTATAAGATTCAAGACTCCTTTAAACACCATGCCATACAGGTGGTTAGTTCCTTTATTTTTTCTTGAAGTAATAATCGTTGAATATAAATAAAGTATCCAGGGCGAAGCTCTCCAAAAATTAAATCCTGTATCCTTTAGTGACCTTAACCACCCTCTTAACCGTTTCTATATAAGAGTATTGTGTTTGGAAGTTCAGTTGCAGTTGCAAAAACCATCTACTTGATGGAAAAGATGATCCAAGATTTAGCGAAGTATAAAGTAAAACTGGAAGAATGATCAAAACCGATAGGATAGGGTGGCCCGATGAGTTTAACGACCGAAAACACCCCTCAACAGACTGAAGATAATTATTCAAAATGGCTGAACCCCTTTAGAATACCTGCCGCTATTTCCACATATAAAACAAAAGGAGAGGCCAGAGCCTACTAATTGTTAGAATAAACATCTCATCTGTATTCTCGGCCAGGTCTCCTTAAATTTCATTATGGACGATTCGGGGTGAGTTCTTCTCCCTAAAAATATATTAGTTTATTTTTCCTTATTTACAAGAGGAATGTCTTTGTTTTTGACCGGTGTTTGTTGAGCTACTTCGGGCTGGATGTTTCGAATACCGGTTAACTGAAATTGAAATAATAGATTAATCAGATTGATAATTTTTTATTTGTTTACTTTTTTTAAAAAAGTAATCATACCAGCTTATTATTATCACTTATTAAAGGGAAATATTAAGATGGGGTTGGATAGTTGGATAGCAAGTATCTCTCTGTTGTCCTTCAAATATGAAAGGCAAATCAGGGATAAGATTGATAATAAAAACTAACGATGAACAATTTTTTAAAAATTTATTTCAAGTAATCTTTTAATTAATATCAGTTGCATTCCTTAATTTAAAGAATCTGTGACAAAAACTCAGTCAAAACGAAAATTCGAAATATTTTGTGCTTCGTTTTATAATGATTATAACCATTATTTCAAAACGCTCTAATTATTTAGATTTTATTATAATTATATATAGGGATTTTTATAGTATTTTCGTTTATGATTTATTGTCTTGTTAAAATTATTGTATCTGAAACAATCGGAAAATTTCTGTAGTGTTACACTGACTTCGATTGAGTTAGTTTAATGGTACTAAAAACTAAAGGAATGTACTTAATGGATTAATTTTAACAAATAATAGTATACAAAAATGTTGTGATATAACACCTTATAGATTAATGAGTCAATCACATTAGGAGAAATAAAAGAGAATACCTGATAATGGAGAGACCCGAAACTTTTATCACGTTCAGTGCCGATCTTGGACACTTACCGATGTCTGATTTTAGCATTAAATTTTAAGTGTTTGGAAAATATGTTGACATTTATCCTAGCCAAGCTCATGATGAGATAACACCCAGGTAGCTAAATTGTTATCAGTAAACCCTATGAGTCATTCGATAACAAAGGATTGTATACTATCAGTTATACTATTATCTTTTATACAATTATAATGTATGTAATCTTCGATAGGCAGTCATTCGATTCCAGTATGTTTATTTATGCACTAAAAAAAAAAAATTGTGATAGAATTTTTTAGTTGTAAGATTAAAATTTAAAAAAAAATTCGAATTACTGCAAAGGTTCGAAAAACGTATCCTTACTATAAGATATAAGATTGATACATATGTCGTTGTAGGCTCGAATATAGATTTGTATATTAGCCTTTTTATACTAGGCTGTATATTCGACCTCAAAAAGACTATATAATAAATGAAAATATTTTCCAACTAACTTAAGGATATGACTTCCAAAAGATGGTTTCTTACTTTGATGATTTTAATAAAAATATTTTTTTAAATAAAAATAAACAAATCTGATTTTTCATCCATTCCAACGAAATAAAATGTAATTGTGGTAAAAGGTCAGTAACTGCTCCAGAAATACAATAAATACTAAGTAATTTTGTCACTTGAGGAATTTGAAAATATAATTAGCTCCTCTCGAATATAGAACTGCTACAATCCCCTGTCATTATTCGGATTACCATACTAGAAGGGAAATTGAAAATTAATAGCACTAATGAACTATCACTTTCTATTATTATACGAAAGCTTTCTCCAGGAATCGCTGGCCACACATCACCTACATAAATACTAAATTGTATCTCTGTAGTTTCTATTTTCAAATTCATCGCACTAATTTCTGAGCGGTACTGACCCCTTTTTATCAAATTATTAACATCTACCAAACACTTCGTGAATGTGTTTTCAGCCGTCTGCTGCTTTTATCCGGAACCACTGACCGATCATTTTTGAATTTGATATCAAATTCAGAGGTCACCCTTTGATGATCATCCAAACTCGACATTACCACCCGCCCTTTCGTTTCGAAATGACGGCTGAAAAACCTAAGCCGCTATGATGATTTTAGTTGTGTTAAATTAATTTAATGAAACCTGCCTAAAATTTTCTTCTTGAACTCCTCTAAATTGATAAGTATAACATGCTCCTTTCCGAAAAGAAGCTAGTATAAAAGCTGGTTACGACTTATACAACATTTTATTTGCAAATCACTCAGAAGTACGCACTTTTTGGCGGATTATGTGTAAGCTTAGTCAAAAATAATGAAATAACCGAAATCGTAATTTTGTATATGTTCTAATGCAAAGTCGCTTCCTTTTTTTTCTATTGAAGCAATCGGGTTTGTTATTTTCAGAATAATTCGATTCTTGATTTTTTAAACAAAAATTAATAATAAAATTTTCTTAAGGAGGCAACTTTTTATGTAATTTTTCGGAGATTCAGCAAGGAATAATGTTGTGTGGCAAGACAAACACATATTTGATATAAAAATATTTATAAATGATAAACCATTGTGTAATAATTTTGCAGCGTTTTTTAGTTTCAATCGGGGGACCAATACTAGGTCCAATACTGAAACTTAGTGTTGTTGGCTTATAACCGATACTTCGGCTGAGCATATGTAAGTATTGAATTTTGGAACTAGCAGGGACGGTATAAAGGTACTTGTTAGATTTTATCTTCCCGATAAGACTTTAGCTCCCATACACAACTTTTGATGGACTAATATTATAGAAGCTAAGAAAGTATGTGGACTGTTCTCAATTGTTCCGTAGCTACTAATTACTTGGCAGTATAGCATTGATAGGCGTCGTCATATTTCGAAGGCTCTTAACAACCTGGTGCTACTTTTCTACTTGTCTAAACGGATTAGCGATTAATTTTCACCTTCGTGAAACTCTTCAAGACCATGTCCCTCCATCTCCTCCTCATCCTCAACCACCTCCCGGTTATACTTACCACGCTGACGTCAGTTGCCTATACGCCAAACATGTTGTGCTACAACTGATATTTGTTTGACTCATTCAAATCCATTATAGATACACGCAACTGTCTGACTGACGGCCAACAAAAACAGTTTACATTGTCCAACTGAGACAGTTTGAATTCCTCTGAAACAAATACTTCCCTCCTACCTTCACCCACTAGTAGAAGAGATCCTCCTCTGTTTGAATTTAACATAACAATGAATGGTATTATATATCTTGAGCTATAAAAAGATTTGTTTTAATAGTTTTTATTGTTAGTATATATAGGTATGTTTGTGTTTTTTTTTAAATTACTTATATTTAAGTTATTTCATTTATATTTATTATATATACTTTTTGATTATTATTTAGTTGACATTTTTCCACTGTTTATTTTATATTTCCTGCACATAGAGTGTGAATGTAGTCTTACCTCACTATAATTATTGTCTATGTGACAGAATATTTATTAAATTAACAAATAAATAAACAAAAAAATATAGTATCTCTCTCTCTCTCTCTCTCTCTCTCTCTATATATATATATATATATATATATATATATATATATACTATTTATTGAATAATATAACAATCTGCCCCACACGAGGGCAGATTTAGCTGAATATTTAATTCATAAATACCACTCACTTTTGTATTATTAATCATTCCTTAGATCAAGTATAAATTGTTGTTTAATTTGCTATTTGGAACAGAAAAAAAGGTCAAATGTTATCTAAAGTGGTCTGCTGTTTAGTGTGGATCTATGTTAATTTTTGGTAAATGCTATTCTGCTCTTGAAATTTATAATCGCATTTCTTTAAAAAATCGCGTTTTTGAAGTATGACGTTAAAATGTGAGAAATATAACGAGTAGTTGCTGTTATCATTACCATCATGAGGTAATATTATGAACGTCGAAGTCCAAGAAACTGTATATAAAATGTTGAGTGACGTACGGTATAGTAATTAGCTGGCGCTTTAAAATCATCATGAGCTGCATTATGATTAACTAAAAAGAATAGCCATTAATCGTTCTCAATATATATATATATATATATATATATATATATATATATATATATATATACCATATATTTACACTTTAGATCTGAATAGGTCCTTTAAAAAAAAAATCTTTAGCCGTAAAAAAATACAACAATGAACTCAAAAATTTTCAGCAAAATAAATATAAATATAGAATTTTTAAATTTGATCTAAATACAATAAAATAATTATAAAGAAAAAAATAGTAAATAATCAGTTATTTTGTTAGAAAATGAAGAATATTAGGAAGAAACAATAGGAGTAGAAAATGATTTTTCTTTCTTTGATAAGTCCAAAAAAAATTATAATGTAATCGAACGCAATTTTGCAGATCTGACTTGTGAGAGATTCTCCAGGTCGAGAAGTTTTTTAGCACGTTCGAGATAATAGAATTATTTCTATTAAATTTACATGAGAATAAACATTGAAATAAATTTGTATACAAAGGTTGAAAACATTAAGACAAGGCTCTTGATATCTGTCCTTAGCACGTCGGATCCTGGAACTGTAATTTATATTTAGACCTATTGTTTGTTCCATTTATTTATACATTACAACTTTATTTTTTTACTTATTTTTTTTTTTTTACTTATTTTTTTACCAGTCTCAAAACCATGAATCGCCAAATGGTTATCACATGAATGACCATGACTATGATCAATGATTACTTAAAACGTTTAATGATGTCTTGCTTGTAAGGAAGTATTTTGGATTCGACGAGGAAAATGATTAGTTCGTGATTTCAATTAGTGTTCTATGTCGTTTGCAAACTGCAGAATTATTTTTCAATCATCCGTTTTTCAATTAGCGATTGGGCAAATTGACGGATAGACATTGATCCGGTAGCCATATGGGGCGTAGAAAGAGTTCGTGACATATATATGGGCTCTTTGTGGTTTAGGCGTCGATATGGTTAGATATGTTTGATGGTATTGTCTAGCCGCTGGAAACTTCCGCTGAGGATGCGGGCAATCAAACGGATGCACACGTGTTTCTACTCCCCACAAATATTTATCCAGTTCCGCGGGAACCGTTGGGCCATAATTAACGTCTCGGACCACTCTCGTTCCTGGTGATATACTTATTATTAATATATTATTAATGATATGTCTTATCGCTCTCTAGTGGAAAATTAGTTCTTGTCGTCCAACTAGCACAAAACGTTGTAATGATATATGCGCCTGTATTTTTCTGAACCAGCTGTTTTAAAACTATTTCGTCATCAGGAATCACAAAACAAAAACTGTTTTGTGTCAACCTAAGGTGGGTCATTTGTAGGCCTCACAATTTTATTTGAATAAACATTAATAATTGTTACGAAGATGTCAAATAATATTTTAGGATATATTGCGAAAAATGCATTGACTCAAGGGCTAAAGGAAGTTTTCTGACTGCAGTTCCTTCACAAAATAGAAAAACAATTTTTTTTTTTCATCGGTTTATATCAGTTTCTCTGATTGAGTCAAGAACAGATATAAAAGTTATAAATTAATTGAAAATGATAAACAAAACTAAAAAAAAAAATCCTCCCTCCCAAATTAAATTTAGAATCCACTACTTAAACCTGCTAATTTAATGTTTTGTTATAAAAATTCGATTTAAATATTTATTTGAAATAAAACATCGGTGACAGATAATCATATGAATACCCTTTTTTTGTTATAGTAGTGATTAATAATAAATTCTTGAAGTTAAAGTGTTTGTTGAAAAATGTTATATCATCGGGAATAAATTGTGCTGTACTAATCATTATGTCAATTCATTAAAAAATAAGTAATTGTAAATTATTAGTTTGGCAAATTAAAATGTAGTAATAAAAGCAATAAAACAGATGTTCTGTTTGTGTCAAAATATAACTACCCGTTATAAATGTTCCTAGTTTCGAAAAATAACTATAGCAATCTGTTTGGAATTAAACACTTTTATTCTTGCATAAAACTTAAAGATTTAACGGTGTCACACTTTTGATTTTTGAACCATTTAAAATATTCATAAAACGTTAGTTTAACTGAGTTAATGACAACATTCGTGCTTATTTCCAGTATTTATATTCGGCTTGACTATACCAAACATGGATACAGCGGAGCTCTTGGAAATCTCGTCGTTCCTCAGCTAATGGAGACCCAGAAAGCACGCTGAAGAAGCACTCTGGGCAAGAGTGGATGGTAGTGTCATTGAAAATTAGACAAATGAATTGGTAGTCATTGCCGTTTCAAACTTCGATTAGGAATGAATTACGAATTTCGAAGGCATGAAGTGGTGGATCGTATAATTTTGGATTGAGAGAACTGTATTAGTTTGATGATGTTAGGATTTGTTTTCATTCCATAGTTGAAGTCCATTGGATAGCTCAGCGCTAGCCTTAGAAAATTGGAAGAATGTTATTGATTATTATCATCCTCTAGACCTAGATCTAAATCGGGTAATGGGTTTTATTTCTGTTCATTGTACTGTTATCTCATGTGAATTAAATTATTTCCCGAGTGTCGTTATATATAACGACCTCCCTTTAACGACATATAAATCGCCCTAATTCCTCTAAGAATTAGAGATCGATCAAAGTGGCTAAATAATCAAGAGCATTGGGGTATTGGGGTGGGGGGGGGGGGGCGTGGGAGGCGAAGCCTGCTCCAGATGAGCTCCCATTGATGGGCCCAATTAAAGGGGAATGGACTTATCTGTTCATCCCTTGTCTGCAATCCTTCAGGGCAATTACCCACTCTCTCACTTGCCCCGTCTTTGGAAAAAATTGCTGGCACAGACACCACGTAAAATCCAGAAAGTACTCAGTTTTTTTTCCTGCTGAAAACCCTTCAGAAGAGTTTAGGGTTTCGTGGAAAGACTGTCGATTCCTTCAAGACATCAGCGGATAAACTTTCTTCAAAAACCCCATTCGATAGCTCAAGGTCATCAATTGTATTATATCCAATTTAAACTAGCGTTGATTGCTTTGAACAATTCAAATATTATAAATACGTATTCGGTATGGAGACGTCGGAAAACCTTTGCGACAAATTCTTTTCATTTCTAGGAGTTAAGTTAATGAATATATTTTAAGTCGCTGCGTTGTACCCTTACGGTAAACAGGAATCAAGTAATGAGAAAAAAAAAAAAAAAAAAAATTACTATAGGAAAATTATTGAAAGAACCAAACCCTAAACCTATTAGTATTGTATTTAAGAGAACACAAAGAAAACGTAGAACATAATTGTCAATTGCACTCACCTCTATGCCTGCTATGCAACCCCCTTCCCCCAATCGATTATTGAAAGCGCCCTAAAACAGGCTTTTTACTCGAATGTGTATTTGCATGTATTACCAACCCAACTGCCTTGATCCAGTGCCGGTATAAGATTATTCTTTTTCCTGTAAGACGTTTAGTCCACTTGGTGTTTCGAAATTAAACATCGCCTTTAGTTGAATCGGAGATGCCTATTGTTTATTGACGTAAAAAAAAGGTTATAATTGAAAACAACAATATGGAGTGTAAAAAATATAATACTTGACTAAAAATTAGCAACCGATTTGCATCCTTTAGAAGATTACTGAAAATTTAACCATTAGTCGTAATTAACAATGTTTATTCGATTTATATTTTCTTGGCAGTAAAATAATATATATTTTCTGATGATCCTAAGGTTCATTCTAAATAAATATCCAATTATAATTTAGGGACATTTCTAAACTTAATTTTTCTCATATTCATGGTCTACAATGAAAAATATTTTGGTTTATAGAAATTTTCTCAAAAATAATTTCAAAAACTGTGCTTACAATTTTAGAAAAAATTAAATCTATCCATTGAATTCCAAACAGTGGTAAATTAAAAATACTACTACTCCATAGTCCTACTTACATATTGATGTAGTATATTAGAAATGTTTTTAGTAATTTCAGTTCTATTTAAATTGTATGTTACTATTATTATATTGTATTTGTTAATATTGATGATTTTTAATATGGATTAATTAAATTTAAACAGCAAGCATTAAAATTTTAAATTGCCA